GAGGAGCACGTCATCGGCGTACACGACAGGACCAGCCGCAGCTCTGGCTCTTGGAGCACCAACCCCATCAACCTCTTATGAAGGAGACAGAGGAAGGGCTTAATCACTAGAGCGTACAGCTGGCCTGACAGTGGACACCCCTGACATACTCCCCGCTCAAAGCTGACTGGCTTGGTCAGGGCCCAGTTGAGCCTGACCAGATGCTCTGCAAAGGTGTACAGTACCCGGAGAAAACCCACACAATGGAGCCCAAAGCCAAAGGCCCGCAGAATGCCCAGGAGATACCTGTGGTCCACCCTGTCAAACGTCTTCTCCTGGTCCAGGGACACAGTGGACACCCCTGACATACTCCCCGCTCAAAGCTGACTGGCTTGGTCAGGGCCCAGTTGAGCCTGACCAGATGCTCTGCAAAGGTGTACAGTACCCGGAGAAAACCCACACAATGGAGCCCAAAGCCAAAGGCCCGCAGAATGCCCAGGAGATACCTGTGGTCCACCCTGTCAAACGTCTTCTCCTGGTCCAGGGACAGGAGGGTGAATGACAGACCATCCCTACACCTGAGCTCCAAGAGATCCTGGATCAGATACAGATTATCAAAGATGCTGTGGCCCGGGATGGTATAGGTCTGGTTGGGGTGGACCATGTCCGCCAGCACGGACTGCTGTTGCAGCAAGATGGCTTTTGCTATACTTTGTAGTCTGTGCTGAGGAACAAGACGAGATGCCAATTTCAAAGGTCGCACAGGTCCCCCTTCTTTGGCAGCAAGGAGAGCACCACTCCCCTACATGACAGAGGGAGGACTCCGCTCTCCAAGGACTTGGCCCAAACGGTGATGAGGTCTGGGTCAAGGATGTCCCAAAACATGCGGTAGAACTCCACAGTCAGCCCGTCCATGCCCGGGGTTTTGTTGGTGGGCATGAGACGGAGGGATTCCGAGAACTCGGTCAGAGTGAGAGGCAGCTCCAGCCAGTCCTGGTTGCCCACGCTGACCGTCAGGAGTTTGGTCCAGAGCACCCTGCAGGCGTCGGTGTCGGTTGGATCCAGGAAGAATAAACTGGCGTAGAAGGCCCTGACTCTTCCACACATCTCCTCCAGATCCATGAGGGGGTGCCATCCTCTGCCAGTAGGCAGGTACCGTGATTTTTGGCCCCTCACTTTTTCTCCAGGTATAGAAGACGCAGGAGCCATGATCCATCTCCCAAAGGAGACGGATGCGATATTGAACAAAGGCATCCCAGGCCTGGTGGTCTTTGAGGGTCTGGAGCTCCTCCCGCTTCTCCCAGTACGCTTCGCAGAGGGGTGGATCCTCTGGGTTGGATGCCAGGTGCTGCTAAAGCTTCAAAACCTCCTGTTACAGCTGCTCTATCGCTGTATCCCTCCACCAGCTGGTGCCCTGGGAGTAGTCTTGGCAAAAGAGCTGGGCGCACACCTTCCTTACATCCCACCATCGCCACACTGAGGGAAAGGCGGGCCGCTGCCCCCGCCAGGCCAACCAGAACTCCCGGAAGGACGCCACAAAGCCCACGTCCTCCAGCAAACTACTTTTAAAGTGCCAGTAGCCCAGCCCCAGCCTCTCTGCACTCAGTGAGGCTTTCATGGCCACCAAATGATGGTCCATAAATGGGGCTGGCTGGGCTCTGGAGGAGTGGGCCCATGCTAGGTGGAAATGTGATAAATAAATCCGGTTCAACCGGGAGTGAACCTTGCAATGGGGGCAAGGGACAGTCCTCCAGGTCTGGGCCACCGGGCTGCAGCACCTCCCGAATAGGGTCAGGGACCGAGGGAACGGAGGTGGGGAGGGGGCCCACAACAACACTGGGCTTGGATGTCTGGGAGGAGCTTTTGTCCAAAGCCATGGCGTCGGTTACAGTAATCTCAGTTGCGCTCCCCGCAGGGAGGGAGGATGACCGCTGCGCCTTAAGGATGGAGGGGGCATCCACAAGCCCGGGACGCAGTTGCTCGGCACTGGCTGTCACCCCTAAGGGCTCGGTGGACTCAGATGAGGCATCTATGATGGCCGGGCCGTCAAGCAATATTAGGGGTGACCCGAGGGTGAGAGCAGATTTGGCTGCCTGGAGCATGGGGAAGGTAGGAGGAGAAAGGGGTGGTGCAACTGAGTCGCGGCCCAGACCGAGGCCCGTTGGCAAGGGGTCATCCTCCCCCTGGGCAAGCGGGGTCAGACCCATGGCCTCGATCTCCTCAAAGATGGAGCTGAAGTCCATCCCCAGGGCCCAGAGTCCTCCCCCCCAGCCAGCGAGGC